TCCATTTATGTAACACTTGCATGAGAAGCTGACAAAAAATAATCATAAAATGCCTATTACTTATTTGTAGCAAGAATCAGATTAACTTCCAGAATGTTATAAACACATTTTTCATCACCCCCATTCAGTATTTGCATTTAAGTTTCTCTCCAACTAAAATGTGTGCGTATAAAAAATAACATAATTGCGATTCCACCTAGATTGCTTTGTGTGTTTGGTGGCACATGTTACATATCCATTTTCTCAGAAATAATAGTGGAAAGGCAATGGAATTCTGCTTTTGGTTTTTCTAACATGACAGCATTTGAGACATGGTCAAAGGAAAAAACCATCAGAACTGCTGTAAGCTGCAGTTCAGATTTTGATATGAAGAAGGGAAAATAATAGATGGTAGGAAAGTAATAAAAGCTCTCTAGTACTGCAAGTAATGCTTGAAATGAGATGTCTGCATAATAGAAGAACTCCTAGAACAAATAAGAAAACCTTGCATTTTTCTTCATTTTTCTCTAGTGAAACTGTGAAATTTAGTCAGTTCACTCAAGAACCTGGTTATACTTGTCTCTGACTACACAGCAGGAGAGTTTGTTGTCTGAAAATCTTAGCTATTATGTATCCAGTGGAGTTTTTAATCATCAGCAGTGAAGACATGGGCATTTGCTGTTTTGCTGGGACTTTCCTATGTAGATTATAAACCCACTGGGACACTGGAAAGCTACAAAAACCTGGGCCGTACAGTCAATGTCCAGATTAATTTCTCAAGCCTGCTTTTGCCAGAAGCATCAGCTGGAGAAAGTTAATCAATACAGCCCACTTCCTTGTGCTCCAGCTTGTCTGGCTTAAGTGACCAGAGTGATTCATCAACCCCAAAGGCAGCCCAGAAAGTGCAGCAGTTGAGGCAGTGCTGGAGGGGAGCATGCTGATAGCTGCCTGTGGCTTTTTGTGGCCACCATCAGTGACACCCTGCTCATCTTTCTTCCCCACACCTGAAGATCAGGGTGCTTTTTTTGTGCTTTACTCTGTTTTAATCATGTGGGACATACAGTAATTCCTTTAATAGCCAAGCAACAGCTAGAATTTCAGGCCCTGTCTTGTATGCCACTTGGCTGTCATTGGTAAGTGCTGGCATGATTGACTGTATATGACAATGCAATCCCTCCAGATAGGGTTGTGGTTTTGGGTTGGTTGTTTTCCTCCTTCACAGGGCTTGTGAAACTGGGTTCATTGGTTCATAGTTCAATCTGACAGCTTCTAACTCTGGAGCCACAATCTGAGACTAAATAGCCTAATTAAAACCCCTAGTCTGGCCAGCAAGATGTGTTTCACGATGATTCTGTGGAACTTCAGCTCTAATGTCTAATCCTTACAACTTGTACAGGATACCACAATTTACCAGTGTGCACATATGCTGGTGTGTGCATTCCTTTCATTCCCGGCTTTCATTGTACTGGGCCTAAACACAGTACCTGACTCCCTCCTAACCCCAGGACTTATCCAGGAGGGTAAAGTTATCTTCACTTTACAGGCAAGCAGGCAGGTAGAACAACTAGCCACACACATGACTGTGGACTAGAAGGTCTCTGCAGCAAAACTGTACCTCCTCGTTCCTAATGCAGCACCTACCTCCTGAGCCAGGCTGGCTCCTGCAGGCTTTGGGCTCCAGCATTTCCTTAGGGCAGAGCAGCCATGGAGTGGCAAGGCTGGTCTTCTAAGAGTGCAACTCAAACTCCCCGCATGTTATATTTAAATTGCAGCTGGTGTTTTTTACTTGGCACAAGTAAATCCACAAGGTTGGGACAGGCAAAGCCAAGAAGGCAGAAAATCTTTAAAGCTCCTTAACGTTGCTGGTGTATGAGATGAAGAAATGATGCAATCTCTTGAAATTTATTAAAAGCATGAACATCTGAGAAAGTAAATTTGAGGTACTAAATGACTGTCCAGGAAATAGGAATCTGACTGTGAGAATGACTCTGAGATCAAAGAGAAGGCCCATTTGATCCACTGAGGCTCATCCTCCTAATGTACAACCCTGCCCTTCAGCTCCACAAAGGCATCTAATTGCTTCTCAAATTACCCAGGTGTCTTAGACCTGTCCACCTCACCAGACTCTTTAGGCTGTCTTCAACATATCCAGCATGGCCATGTAAACATGCTAACTCTAGTCCAACATCCTGCTACACAAGGGAACGACTTCACTTCCACAGTAGGTACAAACTTGTTCTTTTGTTCTGCTGTGAAGATTTCTACAATATCATGAAGTTAAGGCTGAAATACTTTTCCTGTCAGTCCCTGGGGACAAATGTATAAAAGCAAAGAGCACTACCTACTATTTTTTAATCATAGTGAGGACTTGTTTGTTTTCTTCACTGTCCCATTAGAAAGAATCTGTGCTTCCAATGCTTGTTACTTCCAAGACTCTGATCCAAAGCAAGAACTGCAAAGCCCAAACATTGAAGGCTATGATCCCAAATGTGGATTGGCTGCCCAATCTCATCAGGTGTCTCAGTTTTGGAAGTTCCCAGTATCATCACTGCAGTCATGCACTGTGCATAGGCTGGGACCAGCTGAAGGCACAGCCATAGATGCCCAGCAGTAGCACTGAGTGTGTTCAGGGCTTAACGTCACACTCAGACAGGACAATGGAAAAACCTTTTTAAAACTACAGTGTCTGAATCTACTCTCCTTCACCCAGCTGTTAAAGCACTTGTCAGAGGTAGGAAACAGGTTGATTCCCTCTTCACTACAATAAATCCAGCTATACTTACTGCTTTTTAAAACTGGTGTCCCTGCTCCCTAACTACTGCTACTGTAATCCAGACTTTGTCTAAGCACAGGCAGAATCCTTTTTACTTCCTCTCTTTCTAGACACTTGAACTTTTATTTTTTCCCCTGCATAAATGGCTCAGTTTCAAAAAAGTGGTCAAGACACCCTACCAGGAGGTAAAAGATTTATCTTTTCCTGCCAACAGCTGCCCTTAAGGCTCTGAGGGAAAACACCTACTACTGATTTGGAGAGCAGTCTTTAACCACCAAATCAACATGCAGGAGAGAGCCCTTTCCTCACATACCTCTTGTCCTGTTTTCAGCAG